AATTTAAAGCTTCTACATAGCAAGTGATGCCATAAACATAAGAGGAAGAAAAATGAAAAAATGGAAAAACACTGTTTGTTACTTATATGTGACAAAGATTTAGTATCCATAATATGTAAATAATTCCTAAAATTAGTCAGAAAGAGACAAACTTTAAAAGGCACTGAGTGGGGGAGATTTGGAGGAGAATTATATACGTGCCCAGGAAATTCACAAAGAAAGCAACATAGATGGCCAGGAAAACAAACTAGGTATGTATCTGCCTGTTAGATATTTCAGTATTTTTTATCCTTTTCATTAAAAGCACTGGTAAAAGTATATGGGATAAGAGAAATTCTCACATACTTGTAGCAGGGATGTAAATGGGTACAACCCTTTTGCAGGACAATCTAACAAAAACAATCATAATTTAAAAGTCAACATCTATGAATTTATATGAAAATATACACATCTATAAAAATATTTTCTATGAATACTGTTTATGATTAGAAAACTGGAAACAACTTAAATGATCATTAATAGGGATATCCATATAATAGAGGATTATAGAGCCATTAAAAATGATATGGTAAATCTACAGGCACTCATATGAAAATACATTTTAAAATATTAAGATCTTGAATGACTTATATATCAATGGATCTGGCATGACAGACCCCAAAATGTTCATAGTGGAGTCAAGAATTTTATTTTTTATAGGTTTTTGAAATATCTGAGTTTTCACAGTAAGTACTTCCAGCACTAAAAAAACTTACCACGTATTAATAGTGAAAACACACAAAAAAGTAAGATAGATAAAGTAATTCCTTCAAAGCTTACTCAACTTCAAGATCTATGCTGTCTAATAAGATAGTCCAGTCAGACTAAATTGAGCACTTGATATGTGACTGGTTCTAAATGAGATATTCTGGAAGTATAAAATATACAACAGATTTCACAGACTTAGGATAAATAAAACCCCTAATTCATACTTTCATATTGATCACATATTGAAATAATTTTTATACAATAAAATATATTATTAAAATTAGTATATTAGTATAATGTGGCTACTAAAATTTTTAAATTACATATATGGCTCGTATTATATTTGCATTGGACAGTAGTGTTTTGGACAAAGAGAGGAAAGAGGAAATAATATATTTTTTGGCATTATTCTTTATTTTAATTAATATAAACATTTCTATTTATAAACATGTTTTCCTCAACTACTTTCAGAATCTATCAAATATATTAATTAAAAAACAAATAATAATAGTTAAAAAGGAAGAAATTAAAGAGATACTATGTACAAAAGAGCCAAAATACGTTTTGTTTTATTTGAAAGTCATATTGCACAACCTGGTGGAGGACAAAGTACTCTGCTTTGCTGGGAATTTAAACAATTTAGGCTTTTAAATGTCTTAAAATTTTATGTAGCTAAGAAATTTTGAATATTGGTTCCTGGAAACTAGAAATCCTTGAATTAGGACCTAAGTTTGTTTATAAGATTCTTACTTTCTTTGGCATAAATGTTTTAATTTTTATAATGTTACTGATTATATTTGACCAGGTTTTTTTTTTTTCTTTTTTTGTAACAGGCTCTCACTCTGTTGCCTGGTTTAGAGTGCAATGGCATCATGAATAGCTCACTACAATCTCAAACTCCTGGGCTCAAGCAATCCTCCTGTGCCTCAGTTTCCAGAGAAAATGGGACTGTAGGTGTACACCAGAGTGCTCAGCTATTTTTTTTTTCTTTAAGAGATGAGTTCTTCTTATGTTGCCCAGGCTGGTCTCAAACTCCTGGCCTCAAACAATCCTCCTGCCTCAGCCTCCTAAAATGTTAGTGTAAACTAGGGTTCTATTTAAATAGGCACAAGTTCAAGCAAAAATTAGATTCTGCCTTTAGCAGTGTGTACTCAGACAGGAGGCATTAGAAGGCAGACATAAAATCATTTATGAAATTATTACTTTTATTACATTTTCCCATGTTGAAGCACCTCTACAGCTTGTAATAAGGCGAATTACTTAAATTATAATCAGTAATGTAGTTCAAACTTTTCTTACATTATTGTAAGAAAAAAATTATACAGATATTTATACTCAGACAATATACTATAAACCAAGAACATGTATCCATTGCCTCTAATTTATCAGTGTTACATGTGAAGAATTGCATAAACAGTGCAAAAAAAGTGTTACTGTCTTAGTACAGAATCAAATATGGAAGGAAATTCCTTCACATAGCCTCTCTTTGGTACTCGTATCCAGTTATATCCATGCAATAAAAGGGGCTACTCTTCAAACTCGCTTCTCTAAAACAAACCTACTATATCAAAAAGGGGAGGAAGCATCTACTTTACGTAAGTTTTGCGCTTGGAAAACTCCTATATGTTATGATTTTATCATTGTCTTATTCATTCAATAAGTATTTATTGTTTCTACAGTGTGCAAGACATTGTACTAACGTGCCTTATAGGATATAAATTAAAACCAGATACAGATCTTGCCAATAAACAGTTTATGGTGGGGAGAAAAGTTGGTCCATCTATAGTCTCCCTCAACTAGCAGGTGGATGAAATATCAGCATTAATAATTTTAAGCCACAAAAACTGACAGCTTAGTTAGGGGAAGTTTTGAAATATCCCCTTCATGACCAATAATTACAATTCTAACTTTTTCTTTTAAATAAGGAGAAAATTTAAATTTCTTCTCTAGTTGAACATATACTTTTAAATTCCATAACATGTAACAGTGCAAAGGGTAAGATAAAAATGAAAATCAAGGACCTTTTTTGGTTTTTTCTTCACTAATGGAAGTATTTATATATTTTTATTTATTTATGTTCTTTCTTTCTGCTACAAACAAGTATTTATGTGGTTCTATATTAGACACTTAATAAAAAGTATACACGTCCTAAGCAGAAGACATAATTCCTTACTAACGTCTAAGAGATCAAAACTTAGAAAACCCAGATTCCAGCAAAATTTCCCAATTTACATATTAATATGAGATTAGATCATTTTCCCCAGTAAAGTACTATTATATGGGTATAAATGCATTGATTGCAATATTGCTTACTATATACCAGATGATGTTACTATACACCAAGTATGCTTACTATACACCAGGTAATGTTCTAAGTGCTTTGAAAATGTTAAACTTTTAATCCTTACACAACCCTATAAAGTAGGTATTATCTTCACTGGACAGATGAGAAAACAGAGGTACAGAGAAGCTAAGAAATCTGATCAAGGGTCGTAGAGCTGGAGAAGAGCAAAGCCAGGCTTCCAATTCAGGCACACTTGCTCCAGAAACATGCCCTTAACCACTATGGCATACTATCTCTACTGAAACTATATCATCAAAAGTAACGGCCTCCATTTTACACCAGGAAGAAGCATTCCAAAGAACAGAAATTTGGAAATGGTTCACTTTATAAAATTTTGCTTAACAATTTATAATTTACACTAAAATTTGTTATGTTGAAGTTTTTCCCTTTGTTTTTAAAAGCTATTAACTTTATAAAAATTTTCTTTTAGGTAGGGTTGATCGTATACACAGGTTAGTTTCATCTGGTATAAAAGCTAACATTAAGCACTTTCTATTTGCCAGACACTGTTATAAGTGCTCTACACATATTAGTTTTTTTAAATTCTTATAACCCTATGTATTATGTACTTTAATTACCCCAGCTTTACAGATGAGGAGACTGCAGTATGAGGAGATTAAGTAACTTGTCCAAGGGCAGACATCTAGAGCTAGCTTTTGGACCCAGACCACAGTCTGACTCCAGAACCCATACTCTTAACAATTTCACCATATTAATATATGTCCAGATTAGGCAGTTTTAAAGTATCTGCTACTTTCTAACAAAGTTAACTCAATAAATATAATCACATACTTAATTTAAGCATTTAGTATTTTTCCTTTTAACACTAAGTTAAGCACTCTGGGAGGCTGAGGCGGGCGGATTGCTCGAGGTCAGGAGTTCAAAACCAGCCTGAGAAGAGTGAGACCCCGTCTCTACTATAAGTAGAAAGAAATTAATTTCCCAACTAATACATATAGAAAAAATTAGCCAGGCATGGTGGAGCATGCCTGTAGTCCCAGCTACTCAGGAGGCTTAGGCAGTAGTATTGCTTGGGCCCAGGAGTTTGAGGTTGCTGTGAGCTAGGCTGATGCCATGGCACTCACTCTAGCCTGGGCAACAAAGCGAGACTGTGTCTCAAAAAAAAAAAAAAACAAAAAAAACCCACTAAGTTAGAAGCCCAATGGAACATTTATTTTTAGAAATACTGTTAACATTTTTGTTAAAATTTTATTACCAAAATTGTCACTAAGCTCACAAACTTCAGAAAAACTTCTGATGGGCAAATGGTTTCAGACATCGAAAGTATTTAAGATTTAATTCTAGTTTGATCTTAGAAAACCAAATATCTATTGTTTCTTCAGTGGCCATGAGGAAAAGAGCCTAGAAATAAAGACAAAACATAATGGAGAAAGGGAGTGAAATGTCTTTAATGACACTTATTATGTATGGGATTTTGTGATCATATATAAGGATGGTTAAGACACATGTGATGCAAAAAGACATACTAACAAATAATTACAGTGACAAATAATAAGGAACATATATGTTAGTTTATAGAATACAGTATTGACAGCCATAATATCACCTGAAGGATTAAAGAAAGGCTTCAGAAAGAAGGCTTTTTGGGAAATGGGTCACTATTTCCTAAGAATTAACATAGAGTTTGAGAAATGGATACTTAATTTATTAATTTTTCTTCAACTTTAATATTCAATTTACACATCAAAAGTTTTTGACTTATAAATCTCTTTTAAAATCATAAAAATTAAAATGAGCTTTTAACAGGTAGACAATATAACACTGAAAGTATAGTTTATAATATAGCTAAGTTAAATACAATAACCATTTCAAATTATCTATTAAGTTAGTTACTCATTTCTTTGATTTCATTTAACATTGATTTAACTCAATGTAGAAGAAGGTCACATTAGTACAAGTTAACACAGCTTAATTATTAACTATATTTATCTGCCAATCTCACATTTCATGTGGCAAATAGTGGTGTATATATAGAGTTAAGAAGTCTAGGTCTGCCTCCAGAAAAGAAATAGTTTCAAATTGCTTGAAATTAAATTAGGATAAAAATGTACATGATTAAGATCTTTCTTTTTATTGTTCCTGTAGTTATATCTTCCAGAATTGACCAAGACAATTCGTCACTTGATACTATATCTTCAGAGCCAATATCAAGATTTGCTATGTTAGATGATGTAAAAATTTTAGCCAATGGCCTCCTTCAGTTGGGACATGGTCTTAAAGACTTTGTCCATAAGACTAAGGGCCAAATTAATGACATATTTAAAAAACTTAACATATTTGATCAGTCTTTTTATGATCTCTCACTACAAACCAATGAAATCAAAGAAGAAGAAAAAGAACTGAGAAGAACTACATACAAACTACAAGTCAAAAATGAAGAAGTGAAGAATATGTCACTTGAACTCAACTCAAAACTTGAAAACCTCCTAGAAGAAAAAATTCTACTTCAACAAAAAGTGAGATATTTGGAGGAGCAATTAACTAATTTAATTCAAAATCAACCTGAAACTCAGGAACACCCAGCAGTAACTTCACTTAAAGTAAGTAGAAATCAAAGCGGGCTCATGATTATGTTTTCAATGTGGATCTTAAAAAAAAAAAAAAAAAAAACTGAAGACATGCTATTTAAAATACTTTGTTGCATTGTTGAAATACTTAATTTTTCTCAAGAAAAATAATCTCCAGAAAATAAAATTTTCCTTTATATTTTAAAGTTGGTTTTTGTTTCCCTTATATATGAAAACAACTAAACTTTATATTTCATGTGAAAATTATATAACAATTAGGTAATAAACTACAGAATACTAAATAATTATACTATTGCAAATTACTGGAGGTAAATAAAAAGTTAAAGGTATTAAAATTTGAAAATTATTCTTCTATGTTTAAAATTTATAAAAGTAATACAGTAAATGGTAAAGATTTATTCCTATTAAAATACACTGGGTTTTTTTCTTTTAATTGAAGTTCAGAAAATCAAATTTTAGAGACAGTACATTTTAAGTAAAACTTTAAGAACAAAAGTATGTACTATTTGAAAGATGCACACAAGAAAAATTGATTACCAATATTCATTTTTCTAATAATCCACTATTAGTTAAAAAATTTAGCTTGTGGTAGTGTTATAGGAAATAAAAATTCTAACAAAAAAGAAAGAGGAAAGAAAATTTTAACCAACTACAATCTATACCCAGACTTTTGTAGAACAGCAAGATAACAGTATCAAGGACCTTCTCCAAACCGTGGAAGAACAATATAAACAATTAAACCAACAGCATAGTCAAATAAAAGAAATAGAAAATCAGGTAAGTCAATATTTTAATGGTATGTCCAAACTTTTACATTGGTTTATAGAATCATTGGACCCTAAAATTGTTTAAAAGCTTTAAATGGATCATGAGTAAAATAATTTCATCAGCATGATTGTTAAGATTTCAGACTCTGAAAATAATAAACTACCTGGGTTTAAATGGTGGCTCTGAAACTTTCTGTGTGGCCTTGAATAAATTTCTTAACTCTTCTGTTTCTCAGTTTCCTCACATATCCTATGAAGATAATAACAGAAACTATCTTATAGGATTGTTGTGAGAAAAAATGAATTCACAGCAGCTAAAGTGATCCTATTAACATTTAAATTAGATCATGTTTCTCTTTGTTCTAAACTCCACAATAGTTCCCCATCTCTCTCTTATTGGCTCTTAAGATTCAGATGAACTGAACTTTCATTATCTCTCTTACTTCATCTTCTTTACTGTAGTCACACTAGCCTCTTCACTGTTACTCAAACACATCAATCATGCTGCTGACTCAGGGCCTTTGCCCTTGTTCCTTCTAGTTGGAATGCTCTTTGCCCTGGTATCTGTATGGCCCACTCTTTCATTCCCTTTAGGTCTTTATTAAATATAAAATTCTCAATGAAGCATTCTCAGGTCACTTGCTCAAAAATGACAACCACCTAATCCCATCCCTGAAAGCTTCTACCTCCTTAACTACTTTTTCCCCTTATCACTTATATTTATGAAAACATAATGTATATTTTAGTTATTTATCTCACCTATTCCTGTACTAAAATGTAGAATCCATGAATATAGGGATTTTTTCCATTGTTTTCATTGCTGTACCCCAGAATATAAAATACTGAATGACACATAATAGGCACTCAATAAATATCTGTTGGATTAATAAAGGTAATGTCATATTCAGTACAGTTAATAAACACTTGCCATGATTCTTATAACTTGAATTATTAGAAACTGTGTGCCAGATAATTAAAGGCCAACAACCAACAATGTAAATAATCTACAATGTAAACAACTGGTGAAGTGAGGAAGGAAGGAACTTGTTTAAAATAAAGTTATGTCAGAATCTAAGCATTTCCATATATAGTACAGTAATTTAAAAGCATTAATTATTAATACTCCTGAACAACCATTCAAGAGAGTCAAAAAATAATACAGAATCAGAGAAAAAGTGGTAAAAAATGGTTCCCAAGAACTATAAAAAAATTACTACTGATTTCCACTAAACAAACAATACCTTTAGTTTATGCAAATATTCCAAAAATGTGTTTTCGCCAACTGCTTTTGATCCATAATATCCTTAATACATAGGTAATTTTTTAAATTTGTTTTTATTATATGATTTACTACGATTAAATGAAACTGCTCACAAAAGCAAAATGTCACTATTATACAATGATATATATTCTGTCTAAAAATAAAATGAAACCAAAACAACGAATTTCTGAGTTGGAAGAAGCTTGAGATCATCTGATCCAAATTCCTCATATTTAAATTCAGAAACCAAAACTCTAAAAAGTTTAGTGACTTTAAGATCACACAGTTACTTAACAGAAAAGACTAATGTCCAGCAAGTGGGCTTTACAATGGATCTTTATAAACTAGGTACTAGAAAATGTCACTTATGCCAGCATCAAAAAACCAACACTAATAATGCAAGATGTTATATATTCCAATTTTCTCATCATCGACAAGAAAAGCTATCATTCAATAAATTGCAAACTCAACATGCTTTAAATAGAAATAAAATGTTGCTAAACTAACAATGAATTATCAAATATACTGAGTGTATGCAAATAAACCAGCCAGCCTGATAACATCTACAGATATGTTTACAGGTCAAAAACTATCAAGAAAGAAGCCTTGTTCAAATTATGTGCTATGTCTTTTTTTTTTTTTTTTGAGACAGAGTCTCACTTGTTGCCCAGGCTAGAGTGAGTGCCGTGGCATCAGCCTAGCTCACAGCAACCTCAGACCCCTGGGCTCAAGCCATCCTTCTGCCTCAGCCTCCTCTGAGTGGCTGGGACTACAGGCATGTGCCACCATGCCCGGCTAATTTTTTCTATATATATTAGTTGGCCAATTAATTTCTTTCTATTTATAGTAGAGACGGGGGTCTTGCTCTTGCTCAGGCTGGTTTCGAACTCCTGACCTCGAGCAATCCGCCCGCCTCAGCCTCCCAGAGTGCTAGGATTACAGGCGTGAGCCACCGCGCCCGGCTTATGTGCTATGTCTTTATGGCAGGTCTGAGAATCAGTAAGATCTGCAATTGAGAATTGTTAAATATAAAATGTGCCTATGTTACTGAATAGAATATTAAACATATTTGTTCATATAAATAAAAAGAACATAGTAAAATATTCTAAGTAAAGCAATGTCTCTGCTTTTGGCTTTGCTCTGTTTTTTGACCCATGTCTGTTTTTTGTATTGCTCTATTTTTTAACTTATTAAATATTGTACCTAATTAAATATCTTGAAAATGGGTAATCTATACAGTCTAAATAGCATTATTTATCCCTCTTAACATCAAAAGCAATAACTTACTATAAATTAAAAAATGAGCTGTATATAAATTGTACTTCTGATATCCTTACTCAGATTTCTCCTAATTGTATACTCAGTACCATTTTTAAAAGTAGATTTATATTCTTTTATCAGCTCAGAAGGACTGGTATTCAAGAACCCACAGAAAATTCTCTTTCTTCCAAGCCAAGAGCACCAAGAACTACTCCCTTTCTTCAGCTGAATGAAATAAAAAAAAATGTAGAACATGATGGTAAGACACTTTGGTGCGTTTCCTTCTTGAAGATATTATTATCAAAATCCTTATTTTCAGGACCTGTTCTAGACTAAAAGAGTAAAGAGACATATCTACAAAATACAATGTGTCAACCTAAATTAGATCCTGGGGTTCTTTTTAAATCTATAAACAACATTCTTAAGACTATCAGGGAAATATAAATATGGACTTGATTATTAGATAATATGAAACATTTATTAGTTTTTTAGATGTGGTAAAAGTATTACAGTTACAGAAGAGGATAAACTCATGTTTAACAAATAGATGCTGAAATATTTAAGGAGTTAAGGGTCATGATGTTTGCAAATTACTTTCAAACAGCACAACAAAATACATACTTGTGTATGTGAGTATGCATAAAAGCAATATAGCAAAATATTAACAGTTGTTGAATATAGATAGAAAGATTATTGTGTTCTTTTCAACAAGTCTTTCCACTTTCATGTTTTCTTGAAATTTTTCTTAATAACAAAAGCTTTGGGAAATAAAGTCTTCACTCCCAGCCAAACTTCAACACAATGATATATTCTTTAGACCTTTATTTTTTAACAGAATAGATCTGTTATTAGTTTTCTCCTTGTAATGTTCATTCTTTCCACATATATCTTTTGCACCGTACTAAGTTTCACATGTATTTTTGCCACTTTAGATTCTTCCTACACCTAGCAAAAAATAGTAATGTGCTTAAAATTCTGATTTTGTCACTTTTCTTAAAAAGAACTCAGTTTGGTAATAACTATTTCTACATTGTTTAAGTAACATGCCATCTAATAAAAATGCTTTAGCATAAACATTACTAAAAAAAGCTACATTTGCACAATTTGATGAAATGGCAAGTAAAATCTCAAGCTCCAAAGTTATCTTTCCTATTACTAAATCCCATGTAATAACATTTTGTTGATTCTAGGCATTCCTCCTGATTGTACTACCATTTATAACAGAGGTGAACATACAAGTGGCATGTATGCCATTAGACCCAGCAACGCTCAAGTTTTTAATGTCTACTGTGATGTTAAATCAGGTAAAACCTGTCTAAGGAGAAAACAGTAATCAGTTCAAGTTGCTCACTACCCATTAGCAAGACTAACACTGTCATGTTTGTATTCTCTCTCTCATACTTTTTTCTCTATCTATCTATATGTATACACACACATATGTATAAATGAAATATATGAGTATTAATATAAATCTAATACTTATATTTATCTTGTTTATATATTCATTCAATATTCTCCTTTTCTCTATAAAAAAATCTGAAGTGACTATTGTCAATAAGTTTACTAAGACAAAATTCTTTAGTTGCTCGTCACTTAACTTTTTGGGACCATAATAAATAAATAAATGTATTGCCACAACATTAATAAACTACCTGACAAAGCCACCAATTAAAACCAAACAAAAAAGGAAACAGAATTATTTACATCTGTTAACATCAATCTACTAAAAATACAGAATTTTGCTCATTTTATTCAGGTAGCCCATGGACATTAATTCAACGACGAGCAGATGGATCACAAAACTTCAATGAAACTTGGGAGAACTACAAATATGGTTTTGGGAGGCTTGATGGTAAGGTAGCTACATCCAATCATTCATTCACGTGTTAATTTACAAATATTTATTGAGAACCTATTATGGACTGGGCATTGGGAAAGTAGCAATGAAAGAAATAATCTCAGCCTTCATAAAACTTATTATCAAATAATTACATATTTGTTAGCAATTACACCTATTACAACTGTCACTAATTACATTTATCACAATTACATGTCTGTTCTTAATTATACTTAATATTAATTAATTTAATGGTTTATAATTATAATCATTAAAGACAATTTTGATTAAGCCCTATCTGCTTTGATCAATGGTAAGTGCTATGAGTAGGCTATGAAGACAACTATCCCTAGTATTAGTTGCTCTATTACCTCATTAGCATTTTAGATATCAATTAATTATAAAGGACAAGAAAATTACCAGATATACAAATGTTAAAGCTGCAAAGATTTAAATATTATAAATGTATACTACAATACCTTTATATTTTAAGTATTTTATACTAATTTACTTATACAAACTAAAAACACTCTTTAAAAAACTATCTGTGACCAATCTGTAGTTAACAATTCACAGATTTTTGAAACTTTTCTTTTCAGGAGAATTTTGGTTGGGCCTAGAGAAGATATACTCCATAGTGAAGCAATCTAATTACATTTTACGATTTGAGCTGGAAGACTGGAAAGACAACAAATATTACATTGAATATTCTTTTCACTTGGGAGATCATGAAACCAACTATACACTACACCTGGTTGAAATTACTGGCAACATCCACAATGCACTCCCAGAAAACAAAGATTTGGTGTTTTCTACTTGGGATCACAAAGCAAAGGGGCACTTCAACTGTCCAGAAAGTTCTTCAGGTATCCTTTTTTCTGATACCAATACTTTATTTTCATATCTTCACTACCCCACAGTATTAGCTATAATATACAACATCAACTCTTTAAAATCCCAACCCCAAATAAGCATTTTCTTTATAGGTAAAAAAAACTCTTAATTATCTTAAGAAAAGTGTTAATTCTACTTCAACCAGGTACTTTATGTCTAATTCTTCACAGATGTTCGATTTTCATATACATGAGATTTACACAGATTATTTAAAACTGGGACAAATGCATCTACAATGCTGCAATATTTATAAGGAAGGATGATAAACTCATGGGGAAATATAATAGTAACTACATGTAAGTTTGTATCCATTAAATTGCATATCTCTCCCCTTTAGGAGGCTGGTGGTGGCATGATGTATGTGGAGAAAACAATCTGAATGGTAAATATAACAAACCAAGAACAAAATCTAAGCCAGAGAGGAGAAGAGGAATATGTTGGAAGTCTCAGAATGGAAGGTTATACTCTATCAAATCAACCAAAATGTTGATCCACCCAACAGATTGAGAAAGCTTTGAATGAACTGAGGCAAATTAAAAACCCAATATATTACACATTAAACTCATCCCAAATTAATGTGATTTAATAATTTGGTATTAAATCCTTAAGAGAAGGCTTGAGAAATAGTTTTTTTTATCTTAAAGTTACTATCAATTGAAGATCAAACATATCACTTTACCTCAAAAAATACCATTTCTATTTCTCAATCAAAATTCTTACAATACCATTTTATGATGTGGGAATCAATTTTAGATTGTTATAATTTAAATTAAAAACTAGTTTTCCTGTTAAAATTATAAACTTAAGGCTAGGTGCAATGGTTCACACCTGTAATCCCAACACTTTCGGAGGCTGAGGAAGGAGGATGGCTTGAGACCAAGAGTTTCAGACCAAACTGGGCAACACAGCAAGACCCTACCTCCATAAAAACTTTAACAATTAGCTGGGCATGGTGGCATGTGTCTACAGTCCTAGCTACTCAAGGCGGCTGAAGCAAGAGGATTTCTTGAGCCTAGAAGTCCAAGGTTACAGTTAGTAATGATCACACCACTGTATTCCAGCTTGGGAAACAGAGCAAGACCCTGTCTCAAAAAAAAAAAAAAAAAAATTCTAAACTTGCCTGAATAAAAAGGACCAATGACTGTATAGTTCTTAATACTATATTATTAATTTCAAAACTAAAATTCAGTCCATTCAGAGTATATACAAAAATCTGTAATATAAATTTTGAAACTAATGATTCATTTTGCTACAAAATAATCCAGAGTAAATGTTTCATATAGTTTATTTATAAAGCCAAATGAAACAGTAATAATACTATATTAAAATAGGTTCACTGTCTTTTAAAAAAAGTAGAAGATCATGATTACTAAGTCATACTGACTTTAATATATCATTATACCTTAACATATTTGTTAACTTATCTATAGTATATGTATTTTATACATTTTAACATTTAATACTGTGAAAACAAATAATTTTAAAGAGATCTTATCAGAATACATAAAAATGAATGTATTTGTGGCATCAAGTTAAAGTTTAATAATTTATTTCCCTAGACATGCTGTGAACCTAATACTTTTGTGTAAGTTTTCAAGTAGAATTAAACATTATTACAAGTTATTGAATAAATAGCCTGACAGACATGTATGTACATTTAAAATCCAGTAAAGATTCAGTCCCTAAATTATAGAAATTTAGATTATTCTAGTTTTTAATTGACACCACAATAGATGTATGATTGTTATTTCTAATTTAAGTAATTTCAACTCTAAATCTCAAAAAAGTATTAGATACAAATTTTTACCATAATATCGTTTGTCAGTATTTATTTTTAAATAAGTTTTTAAAGAAACTATCAACAAGAAATAAAATTTTAGGCCGGGCGCTGTGGCTCACGCCTGTAATCCTAGCTCTTGGGAGGCCGAGGCGGGCGGATTGCTCAAGGTCAGGAGTTCAAAACCAGCCTGAGCAAGAGCGAGACCCCGTCTCTACTATAAATAGAAATTAATTGGCCAACTGATATATATATAAAAAAATTAGCCGGGCATGGTGGCGCATGCCTGTAGTCCCAGCTACCCGGGAGGCTGAGGCAGAAGGATCACTGGAGCCCAGGAGTTTGAGGTTGTTGTGAGCTAAGCTGACGCCACGGCACTCACTCTAGCCTGGGCAACAAAGCGAGACTCTGTCTCAAAAAAAAAAAAAAAAGAAATAAAATTTTAAATTAAACTCAGTTTTTAAAGGATATGGTACCCAAGTTATATAGTGACTAACCTTTGACAATATTCAGCATGATGTATTTCCAATTATCCAATATACATGTAATATATATTTTTATATATCACATATATAAGATATGTATAATCTATATGGATCCCACATAAATATTTTGTTCCAGAAAAGTACAGAATAATAAAGGCAAGAATAGGTTATAATTTTCAGAACCACAGCCCAAGTTGTCAAAATTAACACTGACTTTTTTTTTAAGACAGAGTTCTTACTCCGTTACCCAGGCTAGAGTGCCGTGTTGTCAGCCTAGCTCACAGCAACTTCAGACTCCTGGGCTCAAGCAATCCTTCTGCCTCAGCCTCCAGAGTAGCTAGGACTACAGGCATGCACCATCATGCCCAGCTAATTTTTATATATATTTTTAGTTGGCCAATTAATTTCTTTCTATTTATAGTAGAGAGGGGGTCTCGCTCTTGCTCAGGCTGGTTTTGAACTCTTGACCTTGAGTGATCCACCTACCTCAGCCTCCCAAAGAGCTAGGATTACAGGCGTGAACCACCACACCCGGCCAACACTGACTTTTTTAGAGCCAGAATGCCAAAAGGATGTTTCCACCACCACCCCTCAAAATTGGAAGCTTTCAAATGCAAAATAATTCATTACTTAATATATGAGTTGCTTCCTCTATATGTTTTACTTTTTTTAACAAACAATTCTTATATGAAATGTTTCATTTTGTTCCTTTTAAGAATACTAAATTAGATTTTTTTTTTCCTCATATAAAACTCAGATTGAGGCTGGGCATGGTGGCTCACGCCTATAATCCTAGCTCTCTGGGAGGCCGAGGCGGGCAGATTGCTCGAGGTCAGGAGTTCGAAACCAGCCTGAGCAAGAGCGAGACCCTGTCTCTACTATAAATAGAAAGAAATTAATTGGCCAACTAATATATATATGTATAAAAAAATTAGCCGGGCATGGTGGCGCATGCCTGTAGTCCCAGCTACTTGGGAGGCTGAGGCAGAAGGATTGCTTGAGCCAGGAGATTGAGGTTGCTGTGAGCTAGGCTGACGCCATGGCACTCACTCTAGCCTAGGCAACAAAGCAAGACTCTGTCTCAAAAAAAAAAAAAAAAAAAAACTCAGATTGAGAGACAGTTCTGGTAGAAAAAAGAAACAAGTTTTTTCTTTATGGTTCACAAAATTATGTCCTTCTGTCCTCACTAATTTGCTTAAAGTGTTTGAATTTCACCACTAACTCACAGCTGTCTAATCTAATGGTCTTTTCTCAGTCTATCTTCCATTTAATCTCTTTATTACTTATTAATAACAATATCCTCTTCCAAACTTGACATTCATTTTGCTTTCACAATACTACAACACTCTCCATGGATTATCCCTTACCTGAATCCATCTTTATAACCCTATTCCTTTCTCATATTTAGTATTATTGGCCAAAAAGCATAACTTTCAATCATCTTGTCTACTCTGACTCTCAGACATGCTATCAACTATCATGGACCCATCTATTTTCCATGAATAAATTTCCAAAATCTCCACATTCTTCACAGGCCTATTTCTGGTTCCCCTTCTTATATGGCCTACCTGCCATTTCTCCCTTCTGTATCCTACAGTCCCTTTCAAATTCAACATATCAAATAACAAATTCATCAGCCCTTTACTGCCACTGCTATTCCTTTCGACACTTTCACACCCTCCTCTTAATTTCTTTATCTCTATTAATATCACCACCATGCTCCCAGTCACAGAAGCCCAGAACCTGGAAGACATCTCTGACTTTTCACTTAACTTTATGAACCACTTTTAGCCACCAAGTCCAGTTCAATTTTCTTTTGAAATGTTTCTTAATTTGATAAGTTTTCTTCCCAAGGACTGTCTTTAGCTTGAGTTCTAGATTATCTAAATAGTCTCCTCCTGGCCTCCTAATTTTATTTCTCTCTCCCCATCAATCTTCCTAAAACAAATTTGTAATGCCTGCATACTACTTTGATCTTTATCTTTCAAGCTTGTCTATTGAAGAGGTGTAACAGCTGAAGATAAGGAAAACATATCTTTATAGGATAAACTGGCTTTCTAGAAGCACAAATTTCCTTTAGAATCTTACTGGAATCTTACCATCAATCTTAGAATCATATCTTAAAATTGCATGTAGATTTTATTTTATACTTCATAAATCCATTAATATCTTCATATAAAGATATTTATTTTACCCCTAAATCTTCTAAAAAGTGATGCTCCTATTAGATATATATATTTATTCTGTGGAGTTGCATATCCCATATAGTTGCCCTGAGAAAAATGTATACTCCCATTAGAATAACATAGGCCTAGAGAACAAAATCTAAATCCCTTTCAGGTATCAAGAGTTCCTATAATCTGACCCCAAATTACCTCTTTACCCATTTTTTCTGCAAGACAAACCCTGTGCTCTAATCAAAACATCCCCTCTATACTTTCTTAATGTATTTATTTGTTTAGAATGCCTCTCCACACCTTTCTGATTGGCTTGGTCCTATTATATTTCAAGATGCAAATATCTCACTTCTTCCACAAATATCCTAGTAAAATGACAGCTCCATCCTCTGAAAGCATGCAGCATCACAGTCTATACCCCTCAAATGGCACTTAGTAAATGAAGAAAACACAGAAAAGTAAACCTGGCAAATCATAATAATAAAAATTCTGAAAAATAACAATAAAAACTCCAAGAGCACCAAAGACAGCCAATCTACTTAATTTTAGTGAATTATAAGGAAATTTCTATACCAAAGTTTACTCAGAACTAGTATGAATTTTACTGAAAGCAAATATACAATTTCTCATTTCAGGGTCACCTACTGTAATATAGTCTATTTACATACTCTATTATCCTAGAATCAACATGTTTTGATGCTAACATTTTCTTCCTAATAGCATAACTCATGGAAGTCAATTAACTCACTCATTAATAAAAAAAGGTATTCATTAATGAATATTAACTAAGCATCTACTATCTGCCTCCTTTACAAAACCTATTCCAAATATTTATTCATATATATTCTACCTTCTGTTATAGGATAATCAAATTTCCTTGTGCTTTTTCCCCCATCACTAACAACCACACACACTAAATTTATGCATGTACTTACTGTGATTATCCAACACAGCAATTTTACAAACTGAAAAGAAAGTGAGCAAACAATTGCCTCTTTTATCAAAGTCCAAAGTATTCTCATGGCAAATCAACTAGGGCAAAATTACTCAATTGCTGTGAAATGTGCAGTTCAAGGTCATGAAAGTAGGACTAACAATCTCCCATAATAAGCTTTTTTAAAATGAAATTTTAATGACATTTTAGGAAAGGCAAAATGTAATTAAGCATTCCATATAAAACATAAAAGCTGTTTTTCTGAATTCATGTTTAACTCTAAGAATAGTCATACACCTAATAAAATG